AGGGGGTGGGGAGTGGGTTTTTTTTTTTCCTCCCTACATGATGCCTTGCTATGCTGATGGAAAATTGTTATGATGTAGGAAGCTTCCCTGCCACCATCCCCCAAAATAGGGCAACCTGTTCATAGCTGGGGAGTTGTCATAGTTCATAAACCTGAGTCACAGGCTGCTGTGTACATACTAGATGGAGCTCAGTTTTGAGCTGTGACTACTCTGAGTAAATGTATTAGCCCTGCTGCTTATAGCTGGAAAATTCCTCCAAAGATGACATTGAGGGATGACTTAAATATTTCCTGAAATGAGCTTGCCATGCTTCTCAATGGTAGTGATGTTTTAAGAACCTAAATACTGATTTGCAATATTAGCTTACTACTGCTGAAGAGGTACAAAACTTGGCTTTTTAGTAGTGGGCAGGTGAGTTATATGTGCACATCAAGGTTGTATCCTGTACCTGAAGCGGTGTGCCTTTCAGTACAAACTTCAGCCTTGTATAGAATTACCACAATAAAGCAAAGCTTTCTCCCCAAACAACTTAATTGGCAGAGATCTCATTGCCTTAGTCTCACTGTAATAGAATTGAAATAGTTTTCAGCCCCATGGGAGAGGAGACAAGCATTTTAAATATGGGTGTTGGTATGGAGTACACATGTGGAAGTTGTTTTGAATTTACAAGTGTCACTTGGATTATGGTAGTGCTGAGCTAATCCTCTTAATTGTCTGACATCTATCCTGCTTTTGGTGTTTCTCCATCTCTGAATGCTGGGAGGGTATGAGGCTCCCCAGGGCAATAAAATCTTTCCATTCTTGTTGCCAAGACTTCAAGGATAGTAGAGCTAGATCATCTGAAACAGGCAAACATGATCTTTCTAAAATTTCAAGCTTTTGTTTCAAGTTCTGCTTTTCACTGCACTTTCCAGCTGCAAGGCAAGACTTTGGTTGACTTGTATGTGGTCTGGATCAGTCCATGAGGAGAGTGGTTCCCCAAACATGATCTGGAGAGGCCGCTTGAGAGTGAGAACCTGTATTGAGTAGTGTAAGAAACAACAGACATGTCCTCTGTGGTTTCTGAAGGTGCTGGATGCATTTCTCTATGGGACAGGAGTTGGGTTTAGCTACAGAAAGGGGGGATCATGTAAGTGAGGAGGATGAACTTTGAATTGCTGCTAAATTGGCTTTTAGGTAGCCTTCACAACCATTTGGTTGTTGTCTCTTGTCCCCTATCAAGTGACCAGATCAGCCAAGAGCAGGCATCTTTCAGCTGTGTGCCTGGTGGCAAGTGAGGGGGAGAAGGTAACCTGTGGCTGCTGTGCTCTTTGGGTGGTGGAGAGATAGATGCAAAGTCTTCTCCCCATGTGCCTGAGTCTGGGTGGTGTGAGCAGAAAGGCTCCTGAGGAGGTTTTGCTAGGCAAGCTGTCCTGGCTGCTGTGCAAAAGGGTGCAGGGCTCACAGGTCAGAGCTGAGCTGTTGCATTCCCAGTGGGGACCTTGCTGCAAGTTTTTAGAGTGGTTTTTTTCTTCCCATTGTCTAAAGCTGGAGTGGGACCAGATGAGGCATATGGAACCAACAACTGCAGCATGGCACTGCTGGTGTGGGACAGCAGAAAGCTGGTGCCTGCCTACCTTTTTTCTGTGACGAGTCCAGCAATGCAGCTTATTTTGGAATGAGTGGGGGGGCCGGTTGGGGTAACATTTCCACTTGCCTTCCCCAGATGAGTAAACGGTCTTAATCTGAAACCCTTTTCTCTTCAGTCCCTGTACTTGGCCTGCTGTGTCACCCTGCTTGTCACATGCAAGGAAATCTGCCTTTGTGTTTTTTTTCCATTCACTGTCCACACCCCTTGAAAGTGCAGTTGCAACATCTTGCTTCATGCTGCCTCCACGATTAAAAAGCATGACTTAGTGGAAAAAATCCTGACCTTCTTGGGTTTGGCCTGTCCTGCAGCTGTTTGGAGATAAGATTGTGCTAGATTTTTTTTTTATTAAAAAAGCTGCATGCCACATTTTAGGGATATTTGTTTGTAAGGAAATGACTACTGCTTAGTTTCTGGAAAAAAATCTGGCAGGCTATTTTCAAAGAAATCGTTCCAATTTGACCTAATGTGCTTAAAATGATAGCAGCCAAAGGTTAGTTTAATTATTATACTGCTATTTTTCTTGCACAGGAGGCTATTTTCATGACATTATCAGCTTATGTAACCTCCTGAACCATACTACTTTTTCCATTGCAACCTTCTAAACCATGTAATGTCAAGGGTGTTTTTTTCCTGTCCTGAGCTTAGATAACAAGTTGATGCTTAAGAGCCACTGACTGTACTTCCAGTAATGCACCATGTGTCTGAAACTGCCTTTGTTTGGCCCAGCAGAAACCACAAAGCTCCAAGAAACAGTTACTGTCTTACTTGTGGGAGTGACTAGTAGCAAGTAGCTCATACTGCAGTGCCTGTGTTAACGTGGCTGCCTTCAAAGACCTCGCTCACTGCTGTGCACATGGAAAGCATATGGATGGTGGGGGCTGTGGTGGGAGCTGGGCTCCCCAGGAGCAGAAGGGTGTCTGCAAACAGCCAGCCTTGTGCATTATCTTCAGCTACCTTGCCTGGCTTTGCCTTAAGTAGCAACCTGAGGACTTCCTTGGCTTGGTAACCTGGTTGCCACAGGGCTTTGGATGCAGGGGAGAAATCATAATCACAGATTGCTTTGGGTTGGAATGGGCCTTCAGAGGCCATCTAGTCCAGACCCCCCCTGCAGTGAGCAGCGACAGCTTTAACTAGATCAGGCTGCTCAGGGTCCTGTCCAACCTGACCTGGAATGTTTCCATGGATGGGGTTTCCATCACCTCTGGGCAACCTGTTCCAGTGTTTCACCACACTCATTGTAAAAAGTTTTTTTCCTCATGTCTAGTCTATATCTCCCTGTTTTTGGTTTGAAAGCATCACCCCTTGTCCTGACACAACAGGCCCTGCTAAAAAGCTGTCTCCATCTTTCTTAGAGGCCCCATTACAAAGAGATCGTGTAGTTACTATTTGCTAAACTGAAGAACAAGTTGGTAGGATGTTGTGACACTTTTTGGTCTATGGGTCAGGGTATCCCAAGGTGGTGGGCACCTGCTTGCTTCACCTGAGAAGATTGATGCTTAATGCTTAAGGCTCCTGGATGGGCAACCTGATTCTGTAACTGAAACCACAAAGGTCAAAGCAGATGAGATCTTTCAAACTGACGCACCCACAAGCAGCCTGCCTGTCTGAGATTGGAAGTGCTGTTTCCAGCAAGGATGCTCTTATGGCTCACTTGAACTCGGAACTGGTGTTCAAAGAGCAGTACAGTGCCTGTTGTGACACTTTTTGGTCTATGGGTCAGGGTATCCCAAGGTGGTGGGCACCTGCTTGCTTCACCTGAGAAGATTGATGCTTAATGCTTAAGGCTCCTGGATGGGCAACCTGATTCTGTAACTGAAACCACAAAGGTCAAAGCAGATGAGATCTTTCAAACTGACGCACCCACAAGCAGCCTGCCTGTCTGAGATTGGAAGTGCTGTTTCCAGCAAGGATGCTCTTGTGGCTCACTTGTACTGCTCTTTGAACACCAGTTCTGTTCAGTGCCTGACTCCTCACCCCATCTATGACCCTGAGGGGAAAATGTTTTGTCATTATCTTCTTTGGGGTGTTGAAATGCAACTGTAATGCATAATGGACATTCTGATAAAATCGTTTAAAATGAACAGGTGGTAATTGTTCAGTCTTCTGGTTACCAACCAGGGGGTCTGATGTGGCCACTGGTTCTTGTCACCCAGCTGTTTTCCTCTGGATGAGCTGGGGTTTGAAGATCTTCCCCATGAAGAGCATCCCTATGGGTAACAGCAACCTTTCAGTTCATGTTACAGTTCAGTTATGCAGAGCTCTTGCTAACAATGTACTGCAGTAGCAGTTTTTCCTGTCTCTTTGCCCCAGTTCTTATTAGGACCAAAGTGTCCATCCCAGTGGCACTGCCAGCGAGTGGGCTCTGGTGCCACTGCAGGGCATGAGCTTGTGTAGCCATGTGGCAAGCTATGGGTGGGAGGGAAGGGGTAAGGTACTGCTTTGTGCACCTTGGTAGGCAGGAGATGAGGAGCTCTTCATATTCCTTGCATGAGGAATATGGTACATAATTGCTGGCTATGCCACAGGTACCTCCTGCCCAAAGAAATACGGTCCAGTCTCCAATCCTTCCATAAAATGAGTGTCCTGAATTTCACTGCTGATGTATGGTAGCTGTAGCATGCAGAACACTGCCAAAATTTTCTCTAAAATGCAGCTGAACTTCTTTCAGTCTGGTGCTGTGGCCCTGGAGCAATACCAGATGCAGACCCTTGCTGCAAGGGTCTGAACTGCTCTGGCACTGGGTTGCCTTGTCTCCCCTCCCTTCTAGCAGCAGAGCCTGGAGCACAAGCCTGTTCTTGTGTGTAGCTTGGCCAGCAGCAGGAAATGAGATCTCAGATTCTCTGCTCAAGATAGTTCAGTCTGCACACTTGGGAGCACTGATGCAGAAGTGATGATGTTGGGCAGTGAGACATTAGGATAGAAATCCAAAAGGGCAGATGCCTATTAGCTTAGTGCTGTCCAAGCAAGCATGTGTTTTGGAAGCATATTGGGCAGTGCTCATTTCTAATACTTGGAGACTGGAGGAGTTTATTTCTGAGTTTGAGAGTCTTCCCATCACTCTGTGATGGACACTGTCTACAGATGAGTTGGCTCTGAAGACCCAAGTGTCTTGAGTTGGGTTTTGGCTCAGACTGCTTGAATGCAGCCCCTCTCATAGACTGTTTCTTGGCTCTTTCAGATCTTCCCTGATCCCTCAGACTTTGACCGTTACTGTAAGCTGAAGGACCGTCTGCCCTCAATCGTGGTGGAGCCAACGGAGGGTGATGTGGAGAGTGGTGAGCTGAGATGGCCACCTGAAGAGTTCCTCGTGCAGGAGGAGGAGGAGGAAGAGGAGGAAGAAAACTGTGAGGATGCAAAGAAGGACAACAAGGAGCAATAAATGGCATCTGAGGAAAGGCAAGGGACCACACCCTTCTGAAGGAAGAGCCACACTTCTTTTGAAAGTCTTTTTAAAAAAAAAAAAAGACAAGTTCAATTTTGCACCTGCGAGATCTTAGTTTTTTTGTATTCTCTGTATTGAGAACTGAAGCCCTCGGTGTCACCAGACCTCCTGAGGAAGGAAGTAACGCAGAGAAATGTTTGCTGTTCTCGAGATCATTATCTGTATTTTTCCGAGGTGGAGGCAGCAGTGAAATTCCAAGCACATGGCAGAGGGTGACCACACGAGGACTGTTGGAGGGGGGAGCTCGGGGAGGGGGAGGAAGGTTGGAGGCAGCAAGTGTTCGGCCAGGAGCTGCCTCTGGCTAAAAGCGTGAGAACAGAGCTGTAATCTCTCAGATTTGCCTTGCTTACAGCTTCCATTTTGTGTCTTGGGGGGTGGAAGGGTGCCCATAGTGAAGCATGGCTAAATGCTCTACTGATGAGGGGCCTGTAGCTCTCCCCAGTTTGGCACCTCCTAGGGTAACGTGAGTGTCCATAGGAGTAGTTGGGTTTCTTGCTCTTGAGCCTGTTTTCCAGCCACTTTTCCCAAAGCTGTTTTCTCCCCATTTGCCTTTAGAGTTGTCAGTGCTGAACAGCTGTATTTGCAGGATAATGTTAGGCTGCTGCTTGTCATCTCTACTGTGAGGCCCTGTTTCATCTTGCAGGTGGTGTGTGAGGTAACACGCACCAGATGTAAAGATGCTTCTGTCTGCAGCAAGAGCTTGTATAGGTTTGAACACCTTGGGGTTTTTCTCTCCTATTTGCTGAGGCTGCTGTGGTTGGTCTTGTCTTAATGCAGTGCCCAAAACCAGAGGGTGGAGGTTATGCCTTGTTACCTTGGTGTCCTTGAGGCTGTAGTTTCATGTCTCTGACTTGCTGGTCAATGGGTTTGAGGGGGCTGAGGTAGGAGATCTTCAGCTTTGCACTGCAGGGCCTCCTCAGTGCAGCACAGGCTGCTAGGCATGTGTATGATGTAGAGTCCTGCTGGACCTGGAGGTATTGCAAAGGCGAAACACCAGATTTGTTGTGAATCAACAGTGAGAACGGGGTGTTTGCAAGAAAGGGTCTCTTGGGAGAGGATTAGCCTGGGTGTCCTGAGACAAGATGTTTCTGCTTCGTAGCAAGGGTTGAAACATTCATGGGTGTTTGAAGTGCAGACAGATCTGTGAAGCCTGTGGTCGTGTCCTCTTCACCATATCCTGCTTCAAAGAGAAATCATCTGTCTCCATTTGGGGAGGAGGCCGTTCTGCTGCAGACAGGGTAACCCACTGCTTTCCTGGAAAGCGATGATCTCGCAGCTCTGGGGACCAGCTTGGGAGCCAGTTGATCTTGGGATAGAATGAGAACAGTTTCCACCTAAACCAAATCTGGGGTCGTGGAAGAGAAAGAAATGTCAAGGCCTTAACCAAACTTTCATAATAATCCCAATGCCACCCCCCTTTGCTTATAACTGGTTCCATTTTTAAAATCTATTTGGACATGTGTGTATTTGTATTTTTAATACCTCATGAGTAGTTAAACGCTGGTGGGGGTTGGGAACTGCTTTTAACATATTGGCAGGATTGTTTTAGTCTTGTCTTGCTTGTGTTTAAACATAATGGCAATAACTTATCAGCTCTGCATAACTGTTTCAGACAGACAGGAGTTTGGAGATGAGTTGGCACAAAGCAGGAGAAATTCAGTGTTCTTATGCTGCGGCTGGTCTCTGGTCCAGCAATGCAGCCCTGGTTATATGTGCTCCCTGCTCATCTTGGTGAACAGTTGATCACCAAATGGTCATAATGTGGTGATACCATTTTTCTCTATCGATGGATTCAGCTGATGTATCTGTAACACTTGTTCTAGTCTTGCTGTCTTACTGGAATGAGCTTGTACACCTGCATACCAGCCAGTCATCTTATTTCTAAGTGTTACTATCTATTGGTCTCTACTGTCTGTACCACCAAGTCAAAGCTGTATATCAAAGATATTAACATGTGGGCAGCAAGGAGATGGCAATCCTTGGACTTCAGAGCTGCTGTCTGCCCTAAAGACTTGCATATTTCTGTCTGCATCCTTTTTTTGGAAGTATTGTGTATATTTCTATTTGTTGAACGTATCTAAAGAACAAAGCACTCCAGTAAAACTCCTCCTGTTGTATGATATACATTCTATATTTCTGTAATTCTTTTTTGAGCCTCAGGGAGAAGCTAGCATTTTTTTCAAACTACATTTTTGTCACTGTGACAGTTGTAAATAAAGTTTGAAAATGCTTTCCAAACATACTGGCTTTGTTCTTACTGCCAGAGTGGGTTGGGATGGTCTATTTTCCAGATAACAGCCAGTCCTTGTGTTTCAGGTCTGAGGTGTGCTGACTTCCCAGGCTAATGCAAATACCTGAAGAAAATCATGTCTATCAGTTGAGGCTGATCTGTGAACCTGGAGACACTTGTTTCATGCATGTGGTTAACCTCAGAGCATGGGACCTATGGGATTTTAAGCCTAAATCAGCTTGAAGTGAGGGGGCAGCATCTTTGCCTTGCATCTTCCTACAGTTGCTTATTACTGTGTGAAAAGCTGCTGCAAAGATTCTCCAGATTACTTGGTCCTGAAAAAAAAAAATCTGTATTTATAGCTCTAAGTACTTAACTGCAGTTTGTCTAGCTGCTTACCTAGCCTTGCAGAGCATGAAGTCATGGAGAGCAGAGGCTGTTCATAGCCGCCCTTAGTACTAATGCAGTACCTCTGTGTGTTCCCTGTGTGCTCTTACCCTGAGCTGAGCAACGAGCATGAAGTCTGGCCATGGTGTGTGCTGTTAAGGTCTCAGCTGAGCTACCTGGGGTTGTCTGCTTTGGCCAGTTTGGGTCTAGAGGTCAGTTCTCCTTGAGCAGTCATTTGTTCCTTGCCACACACCGATGGCTGCGTGCTACAGCTCGCAGTGCTGCCAGAGGGAGACCTGGGGGAAATGGCATTTCTTGAGTGTGGCTCTGAACTCATTTGGTACCAAAGCAAACAAGCCCTGGGTGTAGAAATGGGACTGATGATGCCAGGATTCAGTAATTCAAATTCTGTGCTTAATGAGATTAAATTTTCCACTAAAATCAGGTGATAGGGGTATTCCAGGGCACTCGCTTCTTGTCTTCCAGATACATGGAGAGAAGTTGCTGGGATTTGCCAAATAAAACTCTAATTTTTCCTATGCCAATGAGCTGGGGATCTTCCTGGGAGACTGGTTTAAATATATTAACCCTCAGATTTAATGTTTGAACTGAAGTCATGCTCAACATGACACCCACAGTTCAAAGATGAATTGTATTGTGCTCAACCCTCACAGATGCTTTATGCCATAGAAACATAAATGCAATGTAAAGGGTTAAGGACATCACTAGGACACTTCCTAGCTTGGTACAGCCCTTGGGCTACTACCTGTTACTGATCTCCCATGTGGGTGGAGGTGAAGCTGCAACCTGTAGTCCAAGGGTGATCAAAAGAGGCTTCAGGGCCTTAAGACGGTTGGTGAGGGAATATGGGGCATAGGTTATTTTTTCCTATCTCCTTGTGAGCAGTGACATGTGAAGAAACAGATGGACTCAGTCTCCTCATGGCTGATGCTGCCACCAGTGGTTTTTTTTTTTTTGACAATGGGATGGCTTACACAGCACCAGGCTTGCTGTTGTGAGATGGAATTTACCTTTCTCAAAGTGGAAAGAGGGTCTTTGCTCAGGAGCTCATGGGGCTCATTGACAGGGCTTTGAACTAGACTTGAAGAAGGAGGGGGATAATATCAGGGTTGCCTGTGACAAACTGTGGGATGATATGACATAGAGAGATGGGGTGCTAGTGAGAGCCCTTAATCTGTTGCTCTGAGGTGTGCTGCAGTATTCCCAGCCCAGAAGCCTTAGGGAGATGAGTTAGGGGCTCCTGAGGCAGCCAGCAGGGAAACATTGAAGTACCTCACAGAAATTAAGGGGAGTTCCTCTAAGAAGGTGACACAGCCAACAGCCCAGCTGAAGTGCCTCAACACCAATGAACGCATGAACTATTTGGTGAATAATTAATTGGTTGGATGGTTGGGTTAAAAAAAAGGCGATGTAGCTAGTAAGTCAAAGGAGGTGATTCTCCCTTTCTACTCCAGTCTGGCGAGACCTCAGCTGGAGTGCTGTGTCCAGCCCTGGAGCCCTCAGCCCCAGACATGGATCTGCTGGAGCGGGTCCAGAGGAAAGCCACAAAAATGATCAGAGGGCTTAAGTACATCTGTGAATGAAGACTGAGAGAGTTGGAGTAGTTCAGCAAGGAGAAGAGAAGGCTCTGGGAAGACTGTACTGTGGTCTTTCAGTACTTGAATCTATAGGAAAGATGGGGACAGTCTTTTTAGCAGGGGCTGTTGCAACAGGACAAGGGGTGATGGTTCTAAGCTAAAAGAGTGTAGATTTAGACTAGGTTTAAGGAAGAAATTTCTTACAATGAGGCTGATGGAACACTAGCACAGGTTGCCCAGAGAGCTGATAGGTGTGCCACCCGTGCAAATATTCCCAATCTAGTTGGATGTGGCTCTGAGCAACCTCATCTGGTTAAAGTTTTCCCTTTAGGCCCTTTAAAAGTCCATTCCAACCCAAAGTAATCTGTGATTTCTCTTTTGCACCCAAAGCCCTGTGGCAACCAGGTTACCAAGCTGAGGAAGTCCTCAGGTTGCTACTTAAGGCAAAGCCAGGCAAGGTAGCTGAAGATAGTGCACAAGGCTGGCTGTTTGCAGACACCCTTCTGCTCCCGGGGACAGCGGTGCAGGAGCCCAGCTCCCACCACAGCCCCCACCATCCATATGCTTTTCAGGTGCACAACACCAAGTAAGGCTTATGAATGTTGAAGCTTGCCTCTCCTTTTCTTCAATCAGCCTCTAGCTAAGGTGCCTTGATTTCTTCCCCTCCTTAAGCATGGAACTACTTTCCTTATGGAAGCTGCTGCAGCATTTCCAAGATAAAG